TGATGAAATCAAAGATGGCTCTATAAAGCAGGAACTACTGTCGGGTTTAGCATGACTGCTACATGAGACGGGGGGGGGGGGGGGGGAGTGGTGTGTGCGCAGGGGGGCTGTATCAGTGAGCAAAATAACGCAGAAGATCCCCCTGGGTTTGATCTTCCACGAAGCTGCTCATGGTTCACCCTAAACCCGCGTCCACGGCGCAAACAATGGCAGATGCAGATAATAGCTGATGCACTAATTTAAAATAAAAAAAAACTCTCAAGTAGTGTGCGACCGTGGTCATCCATAACAGACCGTAATACAGCGCAATGCCCTGATGCACAAATTACGAAGGAGAAGTCATCACAGCGATACGCTGCGCGACTGCTCCTGGCGCGGTATGCTGACTCGGGCACCTGATTGTGAGTCTATGTGTTGCTCTGCATCTACATCACGGTGGCTATGAGATGTTAACTATCTCACCTGGTAGACAGGACATTGTGGATTCCTTTCCGATCTTGACACCTGTATATTTGGAATTTGCATGTTCCCCCCACGCTCGCGTGGATTTGTCTCCAGGTCCTCTGGGTTTTCGCTCCACGTTTATAAACATGCGTTTAGAATGTTTTGCTATTAATTTCCACATGATAAAGCCACTTCATTGAGCTATCATTTGTGGCCAGGTCGATTCTAAAAAGCAGCTATACAGCTCAGTGGGCCTTTACCTGGTAAAATAAAATAGTTCAATAGTAATTTAATATTTAAAGCTTTCATGACTGCAGGGATTCATGTTCTTGGTTCTTTCGGTAAAGTCACCACGTAGAAGGGAAAGAATGGAATAATAAAAATATAAAACAATAAACTTCTCACGACGTTTCGACTGCAACACAAGCAGTCATCATCAGGTGTGAAAACCACAGCAAGAAAATTTGAAAAAGTGGCGGTTTTTTTTTAACGTTAGCACCACGTTATTTTATTGTTTCCCTTCTACGTGACCTTACCGAAAGAACCAAGAATATAATAGTAATTTAATAGTTTATACATCGGTCTCTATGAGCCTCTATTTGTCTCGTATCAATCTCTGAGTTCCGATGGGTTTCTACGTGTCTTGAGAATAGGTGTCCACGGGTCTCTACGATAACTCGTAGTGGTCACATATTGTGGCGGCGTCTTTCATCGCAAAAAGTTATCTCTGACAATCGCCGAGGAACCCCAAATCAACATCGGCCTCATACCACGGGGGAAGCACAACAAAATGGCCGCCACTTAAAGGCAAAATGGCCGCCTCTTTCCCATTACCTGGACCTGGCCATGATGGTGGTGGAGTGCCAGGAAAAAGGGGGAGACGGTTAACGGTGGTTGCTTGAGTGGTGCAATGGGGGGGGGGGGGGGGGGGAGGTGGGGGTTTTGGAGGGGGGGGGGGGGTAGCAGAGTGGAGGTGAGAGAGAGATGGGAGGTGAGTGGTGTGCATGAGGAAGAGCGCTGCTGAACAAGAGGAAGGAAGTTTGCCCACTCCAGGTGTTCGCCCCTCGTGATTCTCGCTTTGACACGCCAGGGGATTTTTATTTGTCATGCGGGCGTGTTTGTCTGTGCTTGTGTGTGTGCACGTCCGTGTGCGTGGAGAAGAAGCAGAACCAAATGGCCGCCTTGAATGGCATTGAGACGCTTCGGCATTACCTGGACCTGGCCGTGTGTGCATGTGTTCACGCGTGTGTGGAGTAGAAGGTCGACCCAGCCTCAAATGACTACCTGGTGCCCCGGTGTGTCGTTAACATCGCCACTGGGGGAGACAAAGGCGGCCGGGCGTGGTGCTGGCCACCCACCCCCTCGTGTGCCGTGGTGCCCGCCTTCATAGGTGCTGCTACTCGCTACTAACAGCACTTGCTTCAACAGTCTGTTACAGGCCATAGGGGGATCATTACATCTGTGTGCGTGTGTCTGTGTGTGTGCACGTGGCCTCAAGGTGCACATGGCCTGGCACAAGCGTCGTGGTGACTTAGTGGCGAATGGCGGTTGTTGTTGTTGTGCATGTGTAAATATTTCTCAATGTTATTTAAGCTTAGCGCAGGCAATGTCTACATGACGGCATGCAGGCTCCCCAATCACACCCCCACCCACTCGTGTGCCAGACGCACGCGGACGAGCGCGCTCCCCAATTTTCAGATTAATCCATGTGTCAACACATCATTAGTTGGCCTCCTGAATATTCGTTCATATATTGCTGATGTAGATGCAGAGGCAAGGACTACATTTTCACATTCGGGTGGTGAAGCCAGTGGACAACCGCATCGGGAGCAAACGGAGGGAGTAGTGTATCGTCGTCATCATCATCATCGTCGTCGTCGCTGTGATGATGTCTCCTTCGTATTTGTGGATCTCGGGGAGTTGCGTCGCTACACGTCGTGCGGTGTGGTACGGGTGACCCACGGTGGCACCCACTACTCCTGAAGAGTTTTTTTGATTTCCCATTCGTGCATCGGCTATCTGCATCTGCCCATGGTTGGCTGAAAACGTGTTAACATACAAAGGACTGCAGAGCTTGGGCAATTGTTTGGCAGCGCCTTTTCCTGACCGCCTGGCTGCTGCCTTGTGTCTTTGTCCGTGATTCCTTGGTGACTGCGAGAGATGCATTTATGCATGACCGGCGCGCACGCGCGATACACAGCTGAATAACATTAACCCAATCTGAAAAAATCCAAAAGGCCAGCCACACACGAGAACTTTTTGGATTCTTCCAAAACACGCCGTCACCAGGAAGTGATGTCACATATGACATCACCAGAACGTTATTCCCGCCATCATAGGTGGCGTGTGGCATTGATGTCGCGATCGTGAACGCAAATACATGTTTACCGCACGCAGCGTGTTTGATCTACAATCCTCGTATGTATGTTAAACTTCTTTCGCACCGTACGTAGGCAACCATGCTCATCGGAGGTGTGGGGGGAAGGACAACAAACTAAACACAACAACAACAAGCAGTTCTTCAGAAATTAGTTTGTCAATGTAGATGACGATGATTTAAAAGTGCATCGGAGCTCCCAGTGCCTTGCTAATATTGGTCAGGAAGAGCGTTCCAGACGGCCGCAGAAGCAGCAGCGCATCTGAAAGCGCCGCTCGATGATGATGACGACGACGATGATGTTGACGACGACGATGATGATGATGACGACGACGATGATGACGATAATGATGATGACGATGATGACGATGATGATGACGATGATGATGACGATGATGATGATGATGACGATGATGATGACGATAATGATGATGACGATGATGACGATGATGATGACGATGTTGATGATGACGATGATGATGATGACGACGATGATGACGACGATGTTGATGACGACGATAATGATGATGATGCGGTGTTCGATGGCCAAGGCATAAGCCGCTGATGGTTTCTGTATAAACTTTAGTTTCTTAAGAACTGCTTCTTGTTGTTGTACTTAGTTTGTTGTCCTTCCCCTGCACGGTTGGCTACGTACTGTGGTGTCTAAACAGTTAAACTTACCCCCTAGTGTGCCCCTGGCCTCGTGTACCCTACCCGCCTTCATAGGCGCTCGCTAACAGCACTTACCCCAACAGTCTGTTAAGGCTATACAGGGGATCTTTGTGTGTGTGCGTTCGTGTGTATCTGTGTGTGTGCGTGCGTGTGTGTGTGTATTTGTGTGTACACGTGTGTATCTGTGTGTACGCGTGTGTATCTGTGTGTGTGCGTGTGTATCTGTGTGTGTGTGTATCTGTGTGTGTACATGTGTGTATCTGTGTGTACGCGTGTGTATCTGTGTGTGTGCGTGTGTATCTGTGTGTGTGCGTGTGTATCTGTGTGTGTGTGCGTGTGTATCTGTGTGTGTGTGCGTGTGTATCTGTGTGTGTGTGTGCGTGTGTATCTGTGTGTGTGCGTGTGTATCTGTGTGTGTGTGTGTGCGTGTGTATCTCTGTGTGTGTGTGTGCGTGTGTATCTCTGTGTGTGCGTGTGTATCTGTGTGTGTGCGTGTGTGTGTGTATCTGTGTGTGTGTGTATCTGTGTGTGCGTGTGTGTGAGCACTCGCCCGACTTCTGCATTGGTGGTCAGGCCAGGCCCAGACAGAAGTGACTGCGTCACAGGCACCTGTGCAGTTGTGTGTTTGTGGTCATAGACCACACAAAAAGGAGGAATTTAATGACATTTCCTGCCCTGTTAAATAAAGAAATATGCGTCGCCTTCTGGTGGGGTCAAGTGTGGGTATAACCCCACTTCCTCCCAAGACGTTCTGTCTAGCCTGGAAGGGCACCGCGGTGGCTAGGAGATGTTAACTACCTCGCCTGGTCTACAGGAGGTCGTGGGTTTTATCACAACCCTGACGCCTGCTGTATATTTGTAGTTTGCGTGTCTCTCTCTCTCATCATCATCACGGTGGCTAGGAGATGTTAACTACCTCGCCTTGTGTACAGGAGGTCGTGGGTTCAATCACGGCCCTGACGCACAGGTGGTGCATCGGCCAGTCACCTCAGTCAGTCGACCCGTGGCACCTGGGTCTGCCCCGTGACCTCCTGCCGGCGGGCGTTTGACACTTCACGTGGCCTCAGGGTGCACATGGCCTGGCACAAGCGTCGTGGTGACGTCACCGCCACTTAGTGGCGAATGGAGGTTGTTGTTGTTGAGTGCGAGTGAGTGAGTGTACGTGTGTGTGTATGTGGGAGCGGTAGTGTAGCGGTTAGCGCGCTACACTACGAACCCGGCCGCCCGAGTTCGATTCCCGCTCACGGCCGACGCCAGTGGCGATTATCTGAACCGGTATTGGGCCTCCCCTAGGTCGACTCGGCCTCAAATGAGTACCCGGTGCGGTGTGTAGTAAACATCGCCACTGGGGAGACAAAGGCGGCCGGGCGTGGTGGCGCTGGTGCTGGCCACCCACCCCCTCGTGTGCCACGGTGCCGGCCTTCGTAGGCACTGCTCGCTAACGGCACTTGCCCCGACAGCCTGTTAAGACTATATGGGGGATCTTTGTCTGTGTGTGTGTGTGCAGGCGTTTTCCGTCTCTAAGGAGCTGGTGCCCCGCGTGGTGTCTCGCCTGGTGGAGGCCGTGGCCGAGGAGATTGCGCGGCTGATGCAGTGCGTCGCCTCCTTCAGCGCACATGGAGCCCTGCAGGTCGCCGCCACGCACCCACAACGTCCCCCGACGTTCACCTGACGTTCACCTGACGTTCCCACCACGTTCCCATGACGTCACAGTGACGTTCCCCCCCCTCCCCGCGTGTGTCTGGCAGGCCCGGCTGGAGGTGAGTGCCCTGAGAGATGCCGTCGACTCCTTCCAGACCCCTAGCTCCAGGTGAGTGGTTGGGTGAGTGGGTGGTTGGGTGATTGGGTTGGTGGGTAGGTGGGTGGGTGGGTGGTTGGGTGAGTGGTTGGGTGGGTGAGTGGGTGGGCGGGTGAGTGGGTGGGTGGGTGAGTGGGTGGGTGGGTGAGTGGGTGAGTGGGTTGGTGGGTAGGTGGGTGGTTGGGTGGGTGAGTGGGTGGTTGGGTGGGTGAGTGAGTGAGTGGGTGGTTGGGTGATTGAGTTGGTGGGTAGGTGGGTGGTTGGGTGGGTGGGTGAGTGGGTAGTTGGGTGGGTGAGTGAGTGGGTGGTTGGGTGATTGGGTTGGTGGGTAGGTGGGTGGTTGGGTGGGTGAGTGGGTGGTTGGGTGATCGGGTTGGTGGGTAGGTGGTTGGGTGAATGAGTGGGTGAGTGATTGGGTGGGTGGTTGGGTGAGTGGGTGGGTGAGTGAGTGGGTGGGTGGTTGGGTGAGTGGGTGAGTGGGTGAGCGAGTGAATGGGTGGGTGGTTGGGTGAGGGGGTGGACGATTGGGTGAGTGAGTGGGTGAGCGAGTGAGTTAGTGGGTGAGAGTAAGTGGGTGGGTGAGAGTGAGTGGGTGGGTGGTTGGGTGACTGGGTGAATGGGTGGGTGGGTGGTGAGTGAGTGGGTTGGTGGGTGGGTGGGTGGGTGAGTGGGTGAGCAGGTGAGTGAGCGGGTGGGTGAGCGGGTGGGTGAGCGGGTGGGTGAGCGGTTGGGTGAGTGGGTGCGTGGCTGGGTGAGTGGTTGGCGAGTGAGTGGGTGAGTGGTTGGCGAGTGAGTGGTTGGGTGAGTTGGTGAGTGGTTGGGTGAGTTGGTGAGTGGTTGGGTGAGTAGGTGAGTGGTTGAGTGAGTTGGTGAGTGGTTGGGCGAGTTGGTGAGTGGTTGGGTAAGTAGGTGAGTGGTTGGGTGAGTGGGTGCGTGGCTGGGTGAGTGGGTGAGTGGTTGGCGGGTGAGTGGTTGGGTGAGTTGGTGAGTGGTTGGGTGAGTTGGTGAGTGGTTGGGTGAGTTGATGAGTGGTTGGGTGAGTGGGTGCGTGGCTGGGTGAGTGGGTGAGTGGTTGGCGGGTGAGTGGTTGGGTGAGTTGGTGAGTGGTTGGGTGAGTTGGTGAGTGGTTGTGACCTGCAAGGGTGGTGGCGTGTGCCCCCCCCCCTCGTGTGCCCCCCCCCCCTACAGGCAGAGCTTCTCGCAGGCCTTGGCTCAACTGCACCAAGTGCCCAGCGGCACTGAGAAAAAGTACGAGGGGCGAGGGGGGGTGGTGGGGGGGGTGGAGGTAGTGGGGTGGGGGGGGTGGTGGGGGGGGTGGTGGGGGGGTGGAGGTAGTGGGGTGGGGGGTGATAGTGACGATGATAGTCCGACAGAGTGATGATAACGATAGCGCCAAACCACACATCACCACTAGGGAGACGAAGGCAGGTGAGTGTTCACCTGTGACTCTACAGGTGAGTGTTCACCTGTGACTCTACAGGTGAGTGTTCACCTGTGGATCTACAGGTGAGTGTTCACCTGTGACTCTACAGGTGAGTGTTCACCTGTGGATCCACAGGTGAGTGTTCACCTGTGACTCTACAGGTGAGTGTTCACCTGTGGATCCACAGGTGAGTGTTCACCTGTGACTCTACAGGTGAGTGTTCACCTGTTGATCTACAGGTGAGTGTTCACCTGTGGATCTACAGGTGAGTGTTCACCTGTGGATCTACAGGTGAACACTCACCTGTGGATCCACAGGTGAGTGTTCACCTGTGACTCTACAGGTGAGTGTTCACCTGTGGATCTGCAGGTGAGTGTTCACCTGTGGATCCACAGGTGAGTGTTCACCTGTGACTCTACAGGTGAGTGTTCACCTGTGGATCTACAGGTGAGTGTTCACCTGTGACTCTACAGGTGTTTTCTCACCTGTGGATCTGCAGGTGAGTGTTCACCTGTGAATCTACAGGTGAGTGTTCACCTGTGGATCTACAGGTGAGTGTTCAGCTGTGACTCTACATGTGAGTGTTCACCTGTGACTCTACAGGTGAGTGTTCACCTGTGACTCTACAGGTGAGTGTTCACCTGTGGATCTACAGGTGAGTGTTCACCTGTGAATCTACAGGTGAGTGTTCACCTGTGAATCTACAGGTGAGTGTTCACCTGTTGATCTACAGGTGAGTGTTCATCTGTGAATCTACAGGTGAGTGTTCACCTGTGGATCTACAGGTGAGTGTTCACCTGTGGATCTACAGGTGAGTGTTCACCTGTGGATCTACAGGTGAGTGTTCACCTGTGGATCTACAGGTGAGTGTTCACCTGTGGATCTACAGGTGAGTGTTCACCTGTGGATCTACAGGTGAGTGTTCACCTGTGGATCTACAGGTGAGTGTTCACCTGTGGATCTACAGGTGAGTGTTCACCTGTGAATCTACAGGTGAGTGTTCATCTGTGGATCTACAGGTGAGTGTTCACCTGTGGATCTACAGGTGAGTGTTCACCTGTGGATCTACAGGTGAGTGTTCACCTGTGGATCTACAGGTGAGTGTTCACCTGTGGATCTACAGGTGTTTTCTCACCTGTGGATCTGCAGGTGAGTGTTCACCTGTGGATCTACAGGTGTTTTCTCACCTGTGGATCTGCAGGTGAGTGTTCACCTGTGAATCTACAGGTGTTTTCTCACCTGTGACTCTACAGGTGAGCGTTCACGTCCGCCATCTCTTTTGTGGCCACGTCCGCAGGCTGCTGGAGGATCTGATGAATCGCTTCAAGAGCACCATGAAGCTGCAGCTCACTTGCTTCAATGCCTAGGCGTCGCCGCCACCAGGTGAGTAGCCGCGGCGGCTAGCGGGATGTTAACTACCTCGCCTTGTGCGCAGGAGGCCGTGGGTTCTCTCGCGAGCCCGACGCCTGCCGTGTATTCTCTCTCTCTCTCTCTCCCCCCGTGGTAGCGTGGATTTTTTCTCCGGATCCTGCGGCTTTTTTGTCCCCGCCACATTGAGAATCGGTCGACGCGTTAATCGTTCAGAGCATTTGGCTGCTGCTCTACAATGTCCACGTGATGACGACGATAATCCACTCGGTCGCGCTATAATGTTGATAGCCAGGTCGCTTCTGGAAAGTAGCGATGAAAGCTCCGTCTGGCCTTGCCTGGTGCAATGAAAATGTGTTCGTTAGCTTCTACGGCATGGAGCGTGGGGAGCTTTGGCAACTTTCCCCCGTACCGATGGACATCGTTGGCTGCGTACGGTGCGAAACAAGTTCAACATACACAGACTCGCACAGTGATCCATAGACTCACACAGAGACACAAAGACTCACACAGAGACACACAGACACACACAGTGATCCATAGACTCATACAGAGACCCATACACTCACACAGAGACACATAGACTCACACAGTGACACAAAGACTCACACAGAGACACACAGACACACACAGTGATCCATAGACTCACACAGAGACCCATAGACTCACACAGAGACACATAGACCCACACAGAGACACAAAGACTCACACAGAGACACACATACACACACAGAGATCCATAGACTCGCACAGTGATCCATAGACTCACACAGAGACCCATAGACTCACATAGACTCACACAGAGACACATAGACTCACACAGAGACACAAAGACTCACACAGAGACACACATACACACAGAGATCCATAGACTCGCACAGTGATCCATAGACTCACACAGAGACCCATAGACTCACATAGACTCACACAGAGACACATAGACTCACAGAGACCCATAGACTCACACAGAGACACAGACACATACAATGATCCGTAGACTCGCACGGAGACCCATAGACTCACACAGAGATCCATAGACTCGCACAGTGATCCATAGACTCACACAGAGACCCATAGACTCACATAGACTCACACAGAGACACATAGACTCACACAAAGACACAAAGACTCACACAGAGACACACAGAAACACACAGTGATCCATAGACTCACACAGAGACACATAGACTCACACAGAGACACATAGCCTCACACAGAGACACACAAAGACTCACACAGAGACACACACAGAGACCCATTGACTCACACGGAGACTCAGAGACTCACGCAGAGACCCATAGACTCACGCAGAGACTAATTGAACTGCTTTTTATTGTTGTGTTTAGCTTGTCGTCATACCCTGGCACCTGCGATTACCACGGTTGGCGACATACAATGCGGAAGAAGTCCATTACCAAATCCCAATAACCTTTGCCTATGTGGGGCATGCTGTGGCGATGTCACGTGGGGCAGCCTGCACAACAGACGCCACCCTTCTCAGCATTTCGTGAAAATCGCCTCCTGGTCTCCGCCTCTCGATTTGCCCCACGTACTTCCTCCGCGCGATGGCACCGCCGCCGGCCAGAGAAGGGCCCACACGAAGCTTCGGGCCTTCTTGGCCACGGTCATGGCCTCCCGCCTCTGTGATTAGCGATGTACGTGTGACCCCTCAAATGGAACGGCCGTGCCGGTTTGAAAGCATCGGGGCCGACCCAGCGTTTAACCAAGCTGGGTTACGTTGCCAAGGGCTTCGCCCGCCGTTGAGAGGTCTGGACGGAGTCCCCATCATCGGCGAGCTCCTCCGGCGGGCAAGCCTGCGTTGGCTGGGCCACGTAGCCGCCACGCGCCCGGCCACCACATGCCCGGGCAGCTTCTGTTTGGCCGGATCGAGGGGGCTAAACGGGCGCGAGGCGGACTCGGGAGGAGATGGAGCTGATGCGATACGGGAGGATGTGGAGCTGAGTGGACTTGCCGACGACCGGCACCAGCGGTGTCGAGGCGGAGGCTCGGGAAGGAGGCTGCCGCTGCCGCCGCCGCCGCCGCCGCTGCCGCCGAGCAGTTGGAGGCAGTCGCCCTCCGGCAACAACGGAGGGCGGAGGAGCGACGCTGCAGCAAGTTGGCGCCGAAGGTGGCACAGGTGGTGCATCTGCCAGCCGTCTCGGTCAACCCATGGCACCTGCTGGATCTGTCCCATGACCTCCTTGCCAGCGGGCCTTCGAAACTTCACGTGGCCTCGAGGTGCACCTAGCCCGGCACAAGTGCCGCGTGTGTCCGTGCGTATCTATGGTGGGGGGTGGCGGCGGTGTAGCGGTCAGCGCCGCTCCCCACGGGCACCCGGTGCGACGTGTGAACGTCGCCACTTGGGGAGAGACAAAGGCGGCCGTGCGTGGTGTGCTGGCTCCCCCACCCCCTCGAGTGCCAAAGTGCCGGCCTTCGTAGTTGCTCGCTGACAGCACTTGCCCCCCCAAACAGTCTGCGAAGGCTGCGCCGGGGGGGGGGGGGTGGTGGTGGTGACCTTTGTGTGTGTCCTGACGCGTCATTCTGCTCCCGTTGCAGCCCCCCAGCGCGCTCAGCAGTGCGTGGAGCCTGTCGTGCTGAAGAAAACCAACCACGGCGGAGCCGCAGGGACGGTGGCACGAGGGGCGGTGACCCACGGGGGAGACGGCGAGCCTGTGCCGGAATGACGACTGTGATGATGATGATGACGATGACGACGAGGGTGATGATGTCCGTGGTAGTGGTGGCGATGCCACTCGCAGCTTCACGAACGTGTGGCATCCCCCCCCCCCCCCCCCGCCAAGGCTATCCCAGAGTTTGGCGTTCGGATTTTAGTTTTTTTAAGTGACGCATTCCTTTGTGTGCGTGCGTGCGTGAACCCGTGTGTGTGTGTGTGTGTGCGTACGTGCGTCTCTGTGTACGTGTGTGCGTGTGTGTGTATGATGGGGAGCGGTGGTGCAATGGTTAGCGCTATGCTGCGCTACGAAACCAGTGACCCGAATTCAATTCCCGCTCACGGCCACCGCCAGTGACGATTATCTGCACCGGTCCTGGCCCTCCCCTAGGTCAACTCAGCCTCAAATGAGTACCTGGTGCAGACTGTCAACATCGCCACTGGGGATACAAAGGTCGGCGGGCATGGTGCTGGCCACCCACCCCCTCGTGTGCCGTTCCGGCCTTCATAGGTGCTCGCTAACAGCACTTGCCCCAACAGTCTGTTAAGGCTATACGGGGGATCTTTGTCTTTGTGTATGTGTTGAACTTCTTTTGCACCGTACATATCCCAACTGTGCTTTCAAGGACAACAAACTAAACACGTGGAGCAGTTCTAAATAAATGGGTCTCTATGTGAGTCGATGGGTCTCTGTGTGAGTCTATGTGTCTCTGTGTGAGTCTGTGTCTCTATGTGAGTCTATGGGTCTCTGTGTGAGTCTATAGGTCTCTGTGAGGGTCTATGGGTCTCTGTGTGAGTCTATAGGTCTCTGTGAGGGTCTATGGGTCTCTGTGAGTCTATGGGTCTCTGTGTGAGTCTATAGGTCTCTGTGTGTGAGTCTATGTGTCTCTGTGTGAGTCTATGGGTCTCTGTGTGAGTCTATGGGTCTCTGTGTGAGTCTGAGTCTCTGTGTGAGTCTCTGTGTGAGTCTGTGGGTCTCTGTGTGAGTCTATGGGTCTCTGTGTGAGTCTATGGGTCTCTGTGTGAGTCTGAGTCTCTGTGTGAGTCTCTGTGTGAGTCTGTGGGCCTCTGTGTGAGTCTATGGGTCTCTGTGTGAGTCTATGGGTCTCTGTGTGAGTCTGTGTCTCTGTGTGAATCTATGGGTCTCTGTGTGAATCTATGGATCTCTGTGTGAGTCTATGGGTCTCTGTGCGAGTCTATGGGTCTCTGTGTGAGTCTATGGGTCTCTGTGTGACACACGCCAGCTATGTGACACGCCAGCTATGTGACAGACACGCCAGCTATGTGACACACCAGCTATGTGACAGACACACCAGCTATGTGACAGACACACCAGCTATGTGACACACCAGCTATGTGACACACCAGCTATGTGACACACGCCAGCTATGTGACACACCAGCTATGTGACACACCAGCTATGTGACACACCAGCTGTGTGACACACACCAGCTATGTGACACACCAGCTATGTGACACGCCAGCTATGTGACACGCCAGCTATGTGACACGCCAGCTATGTGACCCAACGGCTATGTGACACACCGGCTATGTGACACACGCCAGCTATGTGACACACCAGCTATGTGACACACCAGCTATGTGACAGACACACACCAGCTATGTGACACAGCAGCTATGTGACACACCAGCTACGTGACACACCAGCTATGTGACACCGGCTATGTGACACGCCAGCCATGTGACACACCAGCTATGTGACACACCAGCTATGTGCCACACCAGCTATGTGACAGACACACCAGCTATGTGACACTCCAGCTATGTGACACACCAACTATGTGACAGACACACCAGCTATGTGACACACCAGCTATGTACCACACCAGCTATGTGACAGACACACCAGCTATGTGACAGACACACCAGCTATGTGACACTCCAGCTATGTGACACACCAGCTATGTGACAGACACACCAGCTATGTGACACACCAGCTATGTGACAGACACACCAGCTATGTGACACTCCAGCTATGTGACACACCAACTATGTGACAGACACACCAGCTATGTGACAGACACACCAGCTATGTGACAGACACGCCAGCTATGTGACACACCAGCTATGTGACACGCCAGCTATGTGACAAACCAGCTATGTGACACGCCAGCTATGTGACACGCCAGCTATGTGACACACACCAGCTATGTAACACACACACCAGCTATGTGACACCAGCTTTGTGACACACCAGCTCCGTGACACACACGCCAGCTATGTGACACAAACGCCAGCTATGTGACACCAGCTATGTGACACACCAGCTATGTGACACACCAGCTATTTGACAGACACACCAGCCATGTGACAGACACCAGCTATGTGACACGACAGCTACGTGACACAAGCCAGCTATGTGACACGCCAGCTATGTGACACGCCAGCTATGTGACACGCCAGCTATGTGACACGCCAGCTATGTGACACACACCAGCTATGTAACACACACACCAGCTATGTGACACCAGCTTTGTGACACACCAGCTCTGTGACACACACGCCAGCTATGTGACACAAACGCCAGCTATGTGACACCAGCTATGTGAAACACCAGCTATGTGACACACCAGCTATGTGACAGACACACCAGCTATGTGACAGACACCAGCTATGTGACACGACAGCTACGTGACACAAGCCAGCTATGTGACACGCCAGCTATGTGACACGCCAGCTATGTGACACACACGCCAGCTATGTGACACGCCAGCTATGTGACACACCAGCTATGCGACACCAGATATGTGACACACACACCAGCTATGTGACACACCGGCTGTGTGACACACACCAGCTATGTGACGCGCCAGCTATGTGACACACGCCAGCTATGTGACACACCGGCTATGTAACACACCAGCTATGTGACAGACACACCAGCTATGTGACAGACACACCAGCTATGTGACAGACACACCAGCTATGTGACACGCCAGTTATGTGATACACCAGCTATGTGACACGCCAGCTATGTGACACACGAGCTATGTGACACACGCCAGCTATGTGACACACCAGCTATGTGACAAACCAGCTATGTGATACGCCAGCTATGTGACACACCAGCTATGTGACACACCGGCTATGTGACACACACACCAGCTATGTGACACACGAGCTATGTGACACACGCCAGCTATGTGACAAGCCAGCTATGTGACACACACACCAGCTATGTGACACAACAGCTGTGTGACAGACACACCAGATATGTGACACGCCAGCTATGTGACACACCAGCTATGTGACAAACCAGCTATGTGACACGCCAGCTATGTTACACACACGCCAGCTATGTGACACGCCAGCTATGTGACACACCAGCTATGTGACACACACACCAGCTATGTGACACGCCAGCTATGTGACACACCAGCTATGTGACACACACACCAGCTATGTGACACACCAGCTATGTGACACGCCAGCTATGTGACAAACCAGCTATGTGACACGCCAGCTATGTGACACGCCAGCTATGTGACACGCCAGCTATGTGACACACACCAGCTATGTGACACACCAGCTGTGTGACACACACCAGCTATGTGACACACACTCCAGCTATGTGACACGCCAGCTATGTGACACACCAGCTATGTGATACACACCAGCTATGTGACACACACCAGCTATGGGACACACACCAGCTATGTGACACACACGCCAGCTATGTGACACACCAGCTATGTGACACGCCAGCTATGTGACACACACGCCAGCTATGTGACACGCCAGCTATGTGACACACCAGCTATATGACAGACACACCAGCTATGTGACAGACACACCAGCTATGTGACAGACACACCAGCTATGTGACACGCCAGTTATGTGATACACCAGCTATGTGACACGCCAGCTATGTGACACACGAGCTATGTGACACACGCCAGCTATGTGACACACCAGCTATGTGACAAACCAGCTATGTGATACGCCAGCTATGTGACACACCAGCTATGTGACACACCGGCTATGTGACACACACACCAGCTATGTGACACACGAGCTATGTGACACACGCCAGCTATGTGACAAGCCAGCTATGTGACACACACACCAGCTATGTGACACAACAGCTGTGTGACAGACACACCAGATATGTGACACGCCAGCTATGTGACACACCAGCTATGTGACAAACCAGCTATGTGACACGCCAGCTATGTTACACACACGCCAGCTATGTGACACGCCAGCTATGTGACACACCAGCTATGTGACACACACACCAGCTATGTGACACGCCAGCTATGTGACACACCAGCTATGTGACACACACACCAGCTATGTGACACACCAGCTATGTGACACGCCAGCTATGTGACAAACCAGCTATGTGACACGCCAGCTATGTGACACGCCAGCTATGTGACACGCCAGCTATGTGACACACACCAGCTATGTGACACACCAGCTGTGTGACACACACCAGCTATGTGACACACACTCCAGCTATGTGACACGCCAGCTATGTGACACACCAGCTATGTGATACACACCAGCTATGTGACACACACCAGCTATGGGACACACACCAGCTATGTGACACACACGCCAGCTATGTGACACACCAGCTATGTGACACGCCAGCTATGTGACACACACGCCAGCTATGTGACACGCCAGCTATGTGACACACCAGCTATATGACAGACACACCAGCTATGTGACAGACACACCAGCTATGTGACACGCCAGCTATGTGACACGCCAGTTATGTGACACGCCAGCTATGTGACACACACGCCAGATATGTGACACGCCAGCTATGTGACACACCAGCTATGGGACACACACTCCAGCTATGTGCCACACACACCAGATATGTGACACTCCAGCTATGTGACACACCAGCTATGTGACAGACACACCAGCTATGTGATAGACACACCAGCTATGTGACACGCCAGCTATGTGACACGCCAGCTTTGTGACACGCCAGCTATGTGACACACCAGATATGTGACACGCCAGCTATTTGACAAACCAGCTATGTGACATGCCAGCTATGTGACACACACGCCAGCTATGTGACACACCAGCTATGTGACACACCAGCTATGTGACACACACACCAGCCATGTGACACACGCCAGCTATGTGACTCACCAGCTATGTGACACACCAGCTATGTGACACGCCAGCTATGTGACACACACACACCAGCTATGTGACACACACGCCAGCTATGTGACACACCAGCTATGTGACACACCAGC